CCGCCCTATAAGGGCATAGTTGTCTTTGTATTGTTCTATTATTTTAGTATAAATAATAAGTGAAGGGGCGGCCGGATGATTGCTCTCTTTTCTTTCAACTTCTCTCTTCCTTCTCTCTTCAAGAAACTACTTTCTTTCATATTTTTTCTTAATTCAGCAGATTTCTACTAGTTATATGGGCTGAAAATATTTATTTGGCTGACTATACATTGGTTATGAAGATCAGCTAATGGGATGGCAGCTTTGTTGGCAAAACAAGTGGTTAATAGGGATTGTTTGTTTTGGGAAAAATTGTAATGCAATTTTTTTTGAAAGGTAAGGTAAAATTTTATTTCATAAAAAAATACAAGGTACAACAGATTCCAGGACGTAGAAAGACTAGTCCAGGATCAAAGATAGATTACAGACTCCAAATGAGATCTGAACAATTCAGGCACATTCAGGTGCTTAAATTCATCAGTTACAGACGCCCAGGAGATCAGCTTGCTGACTGCCTGCTGCACTACCTCATTAGAGCTCTTTGGCTTGTTACAAAAGACTCTCTTGTTTCTTTCTGACCACAGGGACCAAAGAATAGCTGCAGGAATTGTTTTCCAGACTAATTTTCCTTTTTTCTTCAAGCCTGCAAGTTTCCAGCTAAACAGGAGGTCTTTGACTGATCTCGGAAGGACCCAGCAGACTCCAGCAGATTTAAGAAAATGCTCCCACACTCTTGAAGAGACCGAACAGTGGATGCTTAGGTGATCTGTAGACGCAGGCAACAGGCTACATGGTCCACAAGAGAGGTTTGAGAGCTGCAGACCCCTCCTCTCCAAGCTGACTTTAAAAAGGCATTTGTTAAGCACCATAGTCCACACCAGGAAGTTGGATTTGGAGGGAGAAACTGCATTCCAGATTTGTTTACAGGGAAAATTAACAGGCCCTATGCTGCCAAGCTTAGAGGTGAAGGACTTGACTGAGAAGTAGCCATCCCTACTCCATTTCCAGATCCACTTGTCCTCACTAATTACATCAATACTCTGACCCTGTAATAGTTCCAGCAGATCCAACACCTCATTTAGCTCCCAATCAACCAGGGCTCTTCTAAACTGGGGATTGCAAGTCACTGTGCTGTTGGAGAAGACATAGGACTCAGCCACTGAAACTTCTTGGTTTGTAGCACACTGAAAGAGATGGGGAAAGGCCTCAGCTAAGGGGCTATCCAAATACCAGGGGTCCCTCCAAAATTTTACTGTCACCTCTGCACACCTCCAAAATTTTATTGATTGTATTGTTTGGGTGAGGGTGCACCTCACATCTCCTTGGCATGTTTGTACTGATGATATTTTGAAGTATTCTAATAAAAGTTTATTCACTTATCGAAAGAATTTTCATGTATTTTCTTGGTAGCCAACAGGGAAAATTTTCAATAAAGAAAAGTGAAGCTGCTGATGAAAAAATAAATAAATATATAAAGAAAAATGAAACTGTTACAAGTAATAAGATAAGAATTCTTAGAGGTCAACAATCAAATAAAGTATAAATGAAATGCATAAGAAGTATTAAAGATAGAAAAGATAGCTAGTTTTTTTATAAATGGTGAATGAAATTTTGTTAATGAGGAATGAGGGAGAGGTTTGTGCCTATCAAATTGCTTTAGAATTCCAACCAATCAAATAAGAGTCCTTTCTATTTTGTTAATAATTTCTCCTGTCTAAGATCCCTTGGACTCCAAGATTCTGCTGTTTTCTCTCTATAAAGCATATGGGAAATTGGGAACAGATTCCACAGAATGTCCCCTATGGAACTGAAGCCAGCCACTTTCCATAAAGGGATTATGCATTTATGTTTTGGAGGTTTTCTAAGAGTGCCCATAAGTGACTGAAGAGCTTCAAAAAGTGGATTCAAACCTCATATGTGATGGAACAATGAATCAATAAATGTTTAATCAATCAATTCCTTTATCACGCAATGAAGACAACTTCTGTTTTCATTGGTCATCAATAATGTAAAAACTTCCTCCATTATTATTTTTGGCATCAATCTTTCTTATACCTTTAAAGTCCTTCAGAATCAATACCCAATCCACATTGAAAGAACATATGCATTTGCAAATTCTTGGAGGTTGCCTCCCTTAATTCTTAATTATTTTTCTGCTTCTCTCCCATCAAATACCCCAGATATAGCAAAAGTTTTATATTTTTTGGGATTCATTCTTTCTTCCAGAAATCCATGTTCTCTAGGAGTTTGTTTACCGTCTTAGTGAGAGGAAAGGAGAAAACTGATGTGAAAGGTGGTTGGTTTCTGCTTAATCTTCCTTGAGTCAGTCCACATTCATAACTACAGTGGCATATTAAGTGCTTAAAATATTAAGACACTGCTGCTATCAATACAATTTACCACTCCACCATCACAATTGGCATCTTTCATGCCTTTTCATCATTAATAAAATTTTGTTATGGATAAAACAAATGATCATAATTTTCTTACTCTGAAGCCTCTATACTTGTTATGTTTCTGATAGAATATTAAAAACAAAGCTTGGCAGGTGAAGGAGTTGGAAGAATCTAGGATCAGTCTCTTACAAGAAAACCGACAGTTGATGGAAAAAATATCTATTTTACAATCAGAGATTCAGCACCTTGAGATGGAGACTTCCCTTTCTGCATCCTCAACAAAAGAGATGATGAAAGTTTGTTGCCTCAACCCTTCTAGCTACTGTCCTTAGAATGCTAGAGGAATATTTTATCTTCTAAACAGTTGCATTTAATGGGTTTTAATTCTTTTTCTTCACATGTGTAATAAGTGAACATGAAGTGCTTTGGGTGTATTGCTTGGGATATCAATCCTTGACTCAGCCACCAAACCAACCCCACCTATTTTTCTCTTTTGTATTGGAATATATGAAAAGGACTAATATCAGGGCCACGTCAGGGAGTGTTTTTGTTCTGAGATAATGTCTAACCTGATCCAGTGTTCCCTGGATAATCAAACCAAGATTACTCAGTTTCAGTCGGTGTTTTTTTTTTTTTTTTGGTATTGCTGAACACACTAAATATAATATCTCCAAGTTTGCATATATTCCTGAAGTTCCTTGAACCTCAACTTAATTCCACCTGTTCAACTGCAACTTGTGAATATGATTCTATTAACTCATCTTTATGTTCATCCAGTATGGTGCTAAAGAAGATAACAATCTTGCTAAAAAAACTCAGGCTTCACATATCTTTTTTTTTTATCGATAACTCTGAAAAAATTTCATTAATTAAGATGCTTTAGGATACAACAAGAAGTTGCAAAAGAAATCAGCATAGAAGCTGACCCAGGACAGTGTGCCCAAAACATATATGTTCTTTGAATCCCTTGCTTTGCTAAGCTATCTACCAAACTGTTGGGCAATCTTTTAACCCAACCCACCTGAATTGACATATTCCTTGACATCCATTTAAATCTTCTGAAATCATTCTTCAACTGCCATGTCACTCCTTCCCCTTTCTGCAACCATTTTATCACAGTTTTTGAGTCTCCCTCGATGATCAGTCTATTAATCCCCAACTCTTTGGCCTTCTCAACCCCATATACTGCAGCCAGAAACTCTTCCCTTGCCGTCACCCTCCTCCACAGGACCAGAGAACAGAGCAATAATGGAACCATTTTCATCTCTAATGCTCCCCTAATACCTGAAGGGCCTGGGTTACCCACACAACTCCCATCAAAGTTCAACTTCTTCCAACCATTTGTTGGAGGGGACCAGGTCTCACAAAACTGTCATCTCATAGATGATGAAGCAGCAATAAGTCCCCAAACCCTGAAAAAGTCTTTGACTTTAAAATCTGAAAACATCTTTAAGCTTTTCACCCAATGTGCCACCCTCAATATTATTATTTCAACTAAAGATTCCTTGCATTTTTCCTTACTTTCAAATATTCTATCATTTCTTTCCTCCCAAATGGTCCAAAGTATTGCTGCTCTAGTGCACCTCCAAAGAATCCTTCCCCTCCTTGTCTTACCACTGATACCATTAGGGTTGAATAAACCTTCCACCCTATCAGGTGAGTACCACCTGCACCCAAAAAGGGAAGTAAACCAATTCCAAATAAAACTGACAAAAGGGCAAGATATAAGAAGGTGGGAAACAGTCTCACCACTCAACTTACACAAGACACACCAATTAGGGGACAAGCACCAATTTGGTCTTTTCCTTTGAAGTACATCAAAGGTATTAATACAACCATGAAAAGCTTCCCAACAAAAAACACTGATTTTAGGGGGAATAGGAGGGCACCAAATTTATTTGACTGGAAAATGAAGAGAAGATTGTGTGGCAACCATCGAATGTAGAAAGGATTTGCAAGAAAAAGATCCATCATAATTAGGACCCTAAATTCTAGAATTTGACCCACCTTCCCCCCAAGAAAACTGATTTCAGCAATCCTAACAACTCGGATACTGCAAGAAGTTCAGACTCTCTAAGATTCCTTTTAAATCCAAAGTTCCAATTCAACCCTGGACGGTGAGAAGGATGGCTTAGGAAATCGGAAATAGGCTTACCCTTGAACCTGGACAGATCACAAAGAGAAGGAAATTTCTCCCCTAAAGGAGTATCCCCAATCCTCAAATCCTCCTAGAATCTGATCTTGCTACCAAAAGACAAATACCTGATAAAATTTAGGAACGTAGGGAGAACATCATGGATGCCCTTCCAGGGAGCAGCCAAGTTAGCCCTATGGAGACATCCAACATCCCATCCGTTGCTCGACATGCCATGAATGCTTGCAACCACTTTGTGCCATAATTTCTCATTTTCATTTGGAAACCTCTAAAGCCATTTGCTAAGCAAAGCCTGATTCTTCAGTCTAACATTACCTATTCCCAAACCCCCTTTCAATTTCCTCACCTTTTCCCATCTAACCAAATGATCATTCTTTTTTTCCCCCTAGCTCCCAGAGAAAATCCCTCATGATTTTTTCAATTTTCCTCATTAGGGTTATTCTCCCCCCCCCCCCCAATGAGATATAATTCCTTCTCCACGCCGCCAAGTGTTTCTCTATCCTTTCCATTACCTATTCCCAACTCAAGCTTCACATCTCTAAGCTCGATTGCTAATAATATGGGCTCAATTTATCCCCAACATTTCTTAACACCATAAAGTCCATGATCCACATTCCATTTCTTTTCAAATTTTGCTGGGCTATCCAAATTCCTTTCTAAAACCAAAGATTTACAGCAGATTATGGCTTTTATGTTTATGTTAATGATTCAAAAAGAGCCCCTAAGGGATGGCATTTATTCAGTTGATTCATGTTGGATGTGGTACACTGTTCTATTAAGTAGATTACATAAGAACCCCCCTCTTGTCATGACTCCTTATCCATAAATAAGAATATATATCACTCATATACGCACACAAAGCCAAAGCTAAACACGTAATGCTTAACCAAATATTGTGGGATGACTAGTGTTTTAAAAGAGCAAAGGCCAATTTGCGCTTGAGGCGCAAGGTAAGGCATGCCTTTTTGAAGCAAGGTGCAAAAATACAAAAAAAAAGCTAAAAAATAAAAATGTCAGAAAATTTAAAAAATGCCAAACATTCAAAAAATATTAAACATAATATTAATAAAAAATATAAACTTAAATTTTAAAATAAATGTTTTAAAAAACCTATTATCTAAAATTAAAATGCATAAACATAACATGTAAAGCATATTCAAATGAAAATTTAAAAAATAAAAGCAAACATATAAAGCATTTTCAAGCATGTAAAACCCACAATCTCTTTTTTTTTTTCAATTGCATTTTTTCAAGTAGCTAATGTGATGTAAAGCATATTGCATTCTTGATTCTACGAGTCGCCTTTGTACTACACCCCTCAAGGCAAGCCCAAACAAGTCCATGTTAAGGTCTTAAATTCTTATTTCTCACATAAAAAATAATGATTTTATAACTTTAATTCCCTTTTAAGAAGATATTTTATTGGAATGAGTGAATGAGCAACATTAGCAAAAAGCACAGAATTTTATAAAGGCGCATGCTTGAGCTGAGGTGCAAGGTGAATTAGGTGCACGCCTAGACGCACCAAGCGTGTGCTTAAAGCTTAGGGTAGAGAGGAATTCAAAGCTATTGAAGAAGAGAAGAAAAGAATCCTCACGGAATTAGAGGAGTTGGATAGTAGAGAGCAAAATGGGACCCTTAATGCTTTAGACAGAAGTAGAAGAGCACATTTGAGAAAGGAATGGGAACAACTAGTCAGAAGGGAAGAAATTTACTAGAGACAAAGATCAAGAGTGAGATGGTTGAAAGAAGGAGACAATAACTCCAGATTTTTTCACACTCCTGCTTCGGGAAGCAGTAGGAAGAATTTTACCTCTAAGCTGAAACTGAACCAGAGGGAAGCGGAGAATCCTGGGGAAATTATGGAAGCCTTCCTTTCCTTCTTCAAAAACCTTTACTCCAAGGATAGTAATAACCGGTTCACATTGAACAGATGGGAAGGTACAACTCTATCAGCTGAAAAGAGGGATTGATTGGAAAGAAGCTTTGATGAGGAAGAAGTTAAAATGACCGTCTTCAGCATGGATGCAGATAGGTCTCCAGGACCGGATGGTTTCCCCATTTTTTTCTTCCAGAAGTGTTGGGAAATAGCAAAGTCAGATCTTATGGATTTTTTCAGGGATTTCCACTCTTCTGCCATTGTTAACAAAGGCCTAAATTCAACCTTTCCTTGCCTCATCCCAAAGAAAGGGGGAGTCTTGGAAGTTAAAGATTTTAGACCAATAAGTCTGATAGGGAGCATCTATAAAATTTTGGCAAAGGTTCTGGCCAACAGACTTAAAGAAGTCCTAGAAGACCTAATTTCCCCAAACCAACTTGCTTTTGTAAAAAGGAGGCAAATTGTGGACAGCATTCTAATTGCAAACGAGTGTGTGGAAGACAGAAAATCTTTGGGGAACCTGGGGGTCCTTGTGAAATTATATCTGGAAAAGGCGTACAATAAAGTGGACTGGAACTGTATTTTAGAGTGCTTTAAGCTGAGAGGCTTTAGTAGAAAATGGATTAGGTGGATTAAACGTTGTATTGGTTTTCCTTGGTTTTCAATATTGATAAATGGTGAAGCGAAAGGTTACTTCAAGGCTAGTAGGGGTCTCAAACAAGGTTGCCATCTTTCCCCCTTTCTATTCACTTTGGTGATGGACATCTTTAACTATCTATTTGATAAGTCTATTCTTCTTAACTTGGTGAAAGGATTTGAAGTGGGAAGGGACAAGATTCACGTTTCACATTTACAATTTGCTGATGACATAATTTTGTTCTTGGACGCCTCCATAACCAACATCACAAACACTAAAAGGATAATTGAATGTTTCAAACTTATCACTGGTTTGAGGGTTAACTTTTGCAAAAGGCGCATAGTAGCTCTTAACTCAGTGGAAGTGGAACTTCTAGAAAATTTCAAATCTTTGTTGGGGTGCAAAGAGGAGAATCTTCCTATTTCCTATCTTGGGATGGCTCTTGGAGGAAATCCAAAATCTCTCAACTTTTGGAGACCAGTGGTGGAGAAATGTGAGAAGAAACTATCAACTTGGAAGAAGTGTTATCTCTCAAAAGGGGGTACGCTTACTCTCTTGAAGGCCTCTTCAGAAAATCTGCCAGTCTCCTTCCTTTTAGTCTTCCAGATTCCAACCAAAGTCAGAAATCAGATTGAGAAGCTTCAAAGGAACTTTCTTTGGGAAGGAGGTGGGGAAAAGAGAAGCCACTTAGTTAGTTGGAAACAAGTATGCAAGCCTAAAGAGGAAGGAGGTTTGGGAATTAGACACTTAAAAGAGAAAAATTCTTCTCTCTTAGGCAAATGGCTATGGAGGTTCCCTAAACAACCCAGTGCTCATTGGACAGCTGTCATCTCAAGCAAATATGGATCAAATGCAAATGGGTGGGATAGCAATTTTCATTTGAACAGGATAAAGTCCACAAATCCTTGGAAAGGTATCATCTCCATCATAGTTTTCAAGGTGCCAAGGCGAGGCTAGGCGACCACAGGGTGCCTAGGCGTCGCCTAGGCGTTGGAATTTAAAAATGTTAATTTTCTTGAGTTTTTACTTCATCTATGCTTTTCTAAGCTATTTTATTGGTTTTGTGTGCTAACTGGCATGCATGTACACTAACTATTAACTCTATAAATCATTCAAATGGGTATAAATTTCATATAACTAGCAAGCATGTACACTAACTATACACTAACTAGCAAGCATGTACACTAACTATTAACTGAAAAAAAAAAGTGTAGGAACTAGGAAGGGAGGAGAGGAGTATAGGGGCAGAAGAAGAAGAAGAAGTATAGGGGATTAGGGGCAGGGAGGAGTATAGGCCCCTGTTTTTTTCAAGAAAAAAAAAAGGACTGAGGCTATCGACTGAGAACAGTCAGGGGTGGAGCCCCTGTTTTTTCCAAAAAAAAAAGGGACTGAGACTAGGACTAGTGACTGAGAACAATCAGGTGCGGAAGAAGAATGAGTGGAGCTGTGGAGGAAGGGAGGAGTATAGGGTGGAGCCCCTGTTTTTTCGAAAAAAAAGCAAAAAATGACTGAAGCTGGGCTGGAAGAAAGAAGAAGAAGAAGCTGTGGAGCTGTGGAGTATTGGGTGGAGCCCCTGTTTTTTCGAAAAGGAAGCAAAAGAACTTACCTGCTGAAGCTGAGGTGCGATGGAGTTGGGTTGGGGCATGAAGTCTTTGGTTCTCCTCCCTCTCAAGTCGAACGAAAAAACCTTTATGTTATGCATAAATAAAAGAAAAAGGCTTTGTATTGTTGTCTTAATAATAAAATGATAGCATGTAACCGGTTTTATTTTAAAAGAATAAAACATCTAATAAAATATAAAAATAATAAATTAAAAAAAACTATTAGATGTATGTAGGCACCCGCCTAGTCACCTAGGCGCCCACTTAAGTCTCTGGGTGGGCACCTAGTATACAAAATCCGGGGCGTTTGGGCGAAGCGACCATGGAATACTGCCTGGTCGCCTAGGTGTCGCCTTGACAACTATGATCTCCATTCACACTTCTTTCTTTCCTTTTATAAGGTATGAAGTGGGAAATGGTTTTAAAATAAAATTCTGGAAAGATTTATGGTGGGGGGAAACTACCCTTGAAGCCTCTTTCCCTAGGCTTTTTAACCTTACCCTTGATCAAGAAGCCACTATTTCTTCCTGCCTTCCAGACCAAACTGCCGAGAACACCCTAAACCTCCATCTCAGAAGACCCCTAAGGGATTCGGAGATTTCTGAATTAATAGACCTAATTCAGACCCTTAAATAAGCCTACATCTCCCCCTCCTATTCTGACACCCGAATCTGGACCCTGCACCCTGCTGGCGAATTCTCTTCTAAGTCTATGTTCAGGGCTTTGATTGCTGATAAACAGCATCCCTCCTTTCCTTATAAGAAGATCTGGTGTAGCCACATCCCTTCAAGAGTTTGTTTCTTTGTCTGGGAAGCTTGTCTCCAGAAATTAAATACTTGTGATCTCTTGCAAAAAAAGTATTTGGGAAGACTGTCCATCTCTCTTCATGTTTGTATTCTATGCTTGAGTGAAGGTGAATCAACAGATCACATTTTTCTTCACTGCAAATTCACCCAAAAGATCTGGTTCCATTTCTTGAAAATGGCAGGTTATAGCTGGGTTATACCAAAGCACATTATGTACACTTTGCATCAATGGCAAGGAACAGGGTTAAGTAAAAGGGGTAAAGTTTTTTGGCAATCAGTGCTACATGCAGTGTTGTGGGGTGTTTGGGACGAAAGAAACATCGCCTCTTTGACAATAAATTCAGAACCCTGGAGGAATTAATTTCATATATTACTTACCTTTGCAACCTTTGGACGGTGAACTCAGATCTGTTCAAAGGACTTTCAGTCAATGATCTTAATAGAGATGCTTACCCCTTTCTGTTTCTCCCTCATCCCCATCAAACATCCTTGAGGCATCCCGACCCCATTAGTGAAGGAGTGATGACCTTTAACTTCGACGGAAGTGCCTTAGGTAACCCTGGATTAGCTGGTATTGGAGGTACAGTAAGAGACGAAAGGGGCATTATATGTTGGACTTTTAGCGGTCCAATTGGTTTGGCTGATTCTACAAAGGCTGAAGTGATGGCTGCTCTCACAGGAATCAGGATAATAAAAAATTTGGGAATCCAGAATTTAAACATTGCAGGTGATTCAGCAAATACTATAAAATGGTTAAGAGACAAAGAAGGGGGGGCCTTGGAGGTTGAGTCACTATCCGACAGAGGCTAGGGATTCTTTGGACTGTTTAAATGTAAATTTAGTTTGGATTCCTAGGGAACACAATCATACTGCAGATGGTTTAGCCAAATGTGGTATGTATTTGGAGCATTTGTATAGCGACAAGCTTCCTCCTTTGTAATTTGTAGGGGTTCTTCCCCTGCTTTGTACATCTTCTCATGTACCTCCTCTTCATTTAATGAATTCTGGTTAAATTTTCTCAAAAAAAAAAAAAAAACCCAAATGTGAGATTATGAAGGTATAATAGAGTATAGGGACAATTTTATGACTAAAAGTAGAGATTGGTAAGGTTAAGAAGGGTCTTGGGGCTTAGCTGCAAGAATTGTAGATTTGTTCCAAAATGATGAAATTTCAAAATGAGTAAAACAGTTCTAGGATTGAAAATTTTCATTGAAATTTTTTAGGTAGGGTTTGAATAAATAATGTAGAGGGTGGCTGAATTTGGTAGGGTTTGGCGTACATCAACAATGACAATGAAACTTTTTACAACTAAAAAATTAACTCTTAGGCCAGACTCCATAGTTAACAAGTAAAATGACCAAAATACTCTTGTTATAAAAATGTACAACAGACAAATATAAAATTTTATAAGCCCGCTATCCAAGGTCTGGCCCTAAATTCATGGCACAAAGTTGAAGCTACTATAACAAGTCACTAATGAAGAGTCTACAAAGGGAATGCTCCAAAGATGGGGGATATTTTGTACCTTTGTCTTTTAGTAGGGAATTTCCTTTGGAAGGAACCTTTTACTGCCTATGAATACTCATGTACATGAAAGTTTGCGATTTGGTCTACACAACTTATTTTCTTTGGAAAAGAAAGATTCTTCTTCCTCCAGGTGGTGAGGTTTCACTCTTCTCTTGGTTAGTTAGACTGTAACCAGAGATTTGGAATATAGCAGTGAAATTATGCTAGTTATTACTTTTTTTTTGTCTTCTCTCATTTTCCTTCTCTATTCTTTCATTTTTCAGTGAAAGCACCATCAGAGACATCTTCAAAGCTCTTGAACATTTTACAACTTGAACAAAGATTGGCTTGGAGTTTGTGCCTTGGAAGCCACTTTGCATAATGTTTCCTTTCTGGCATCACTTAAAGACTTGCTAATAAAAGAAGATAAAAGAAAGAGAAAAATGGAGAGTTTATAGATATCCTTACTTAAAGTTAACTAGCTTATCCATGGTGAAGAGTTTGCCAAGCACTGCCATCCACGATAAAGGCAGAATTAGAAAGGATAGGTGTCCCTTAAATCAAATCAACTAGAGGAAAACCCCTACAATAATTATTGATTAGAGAAGGGAGAAGAGTAATAACTAAACTAATGATCAAGGGGAAAAAATATTTGGTACATGCCTCACCCAACCTAACAAAGCCTAGTCCCAAAGTCTGCTATTCTGCTCCATTCAGTGCAATATCCATTGTTAAATGATTCTATATTTGGGAAATGCAGTATTAACTAATTTAAATTAATTGGGAACAAAAACATTTGAATGATTAGGGGCCATTGCTTGTTACAAACTTACAATGGTAATATCTCAGTTGACAAGAGTGAGAACACAAGTTCAAGCCTTAGAGCAGAGGAGCTGATCAAAAACAAAAAAAGCCTTAGAGCAGAAGATGGGTCCATATCCACTCTGCCTATCCTAGTACTCTGGATAGCCAAGATAAACATTTGGTAATTGGTATGGCCCTTTTTGAATATGTAAATGATTATAAGAAATGAATTGACATCTTGGCAATTAGACTGAAATTTCCTTTATCATAAAGAAAAAATCTTGTGTCGATTAAGGTTTCCTTAGAAACCCCTCTTTCATTTTTCTTTTATTTGGTGAAGATGGTAACGAGTTGATTCTATACTACCTTACTTTCCAAAAGAGAAGAGATAATAACAACACTTAAACACCTCCCCTAACACACACACACAGGAAGAAAAGAGATAATAAAAGCTGATGAGGAGGCTTTATCTCTATGATTTGTTCAAGAAAATTGATTTGGAACTAGCACTTATAGAGGACCTTTAGAAATTGATATTTTCTGATAAGTTTTCACAAACTGTTGCAGCATGCATCAGCGAATGAGGATCTCAACACTCAGATGGAAGGAGCGCGTGCATTAGTAGACAAATTGATCATAGAAAATGCTGAGCTTGTTGAAAAGGTAATATTACCACCTGTCTATGGCAATCATAGACAGGTGTCTTTTCAGTATGTGTTGTTCTTTGGGAATTGTAACTTTGTTGTCTGAGTGAGATGTGATCGATTATATAGTGGTTAATCAATTAAATCATTATCTTTTAAATTAGAGTTCCAAATAGGTATGCAGGTCTTATTAAGGATATGTATGGTGCAACAACCAATGTTAGAACACCTATGGGAGAGACCAGATTTTATAGTTATGATAGGTCTTCACCAAGGTTCAGCATTTAGTCCTTATTTATTTGCGCTAGTCGTGGATGAATTGACCAAACATATACAAGAGGTCTAATGGTGTTTCTTTTTTGCTCATGACATTGCATTAATTGATGAAACTAACAAAGGATTAAATACAAAATTAAGTTTATGGACAATTACTTAGAAACAAAATGTATGCAATGTAAATTTAATTATAACATGAGCGCAAATTGGGGTATACTTAGGATTGGATGGTAAGAGATAACTCAATGTGACACCTTCTATTACCTTGATTCAATAATTCATAACCAGGGAGCTCTAGAAAGAAGTCTAAATCACACTTTCATCACGTAGGTTCCAAGAAAGAAGGGGGCAGTAAAATTAGCTGATTTTGGGCCTATCAATCTCATGGGGAGTGTGCACAAAATAATTGTTAATTTATTGTCTAGGAGGATAGGAAGGTGATGGAATCTTTAATTTTTGAGTCCCAAGGAGCCTTTATAGGGAGAGTGCTGGTGGCAAATGAAGTTATACACTCAAGGAAAGGAAGTAGGGTTGCAGGTTTGCTTTGCAAAGCTGATATGGAAAAGGCCTATGATCATGCAAGCTGGAAGTTCTTGGAATATATGTTAAGAAGAATGAATTTTGGAACAAGGTGGAGAAATTGGATCAAAGTGTGGCTGATCATTAAAAAAAATTGGAATTTCTTGTGGGAAGTTTAAAAAGTTGTAGGGGCATTAGACAAAGTGATCCCTTGTCACTCGTTTTTTTCATTTGCATAACTGAGGCACTTAACAGAATGGTGAAAAGAGCTTGCTTTGGGGGCCTAATTGAAGATTTCAAGATGGGAGAGGGTGAGATAGAGGTGGTTCTTTTGCAGTTTGCTTATGATACTCTTATTTTGTGATGCCTCACAAGAGAGCTGTGGAACATTAAGGCTGTTGTTGGATGGTTTAATTGGTGTGCCTTTATATAAATATTCAGGAGAGTGAAATAATGGCAGTAAGTGAGGTGGCTTAGTTGGAGGAGTGGGCTGATGAATGGGGATGCAAGGTGGTTAAACTTCCAATAAAATATTTGGGAATGCCATTGGGAGCCAAGTGTAATTCTAAATCTATATGGGAACCAATGTTGGAAAGGGTGAACAGGAAGGGGTCAGAATGCACTCATTAAGAGTGTGTTGTCATCCCTCCCAATGTATTAGCTATCTTTGTTCCCAATCCCAGCAAGGATGGATGCAATGTTAGAGAATAAAATGCGGGATTTTTTGTGGAGAGGATGGAAGGATGAAGCTAAGTGCCACTTGGTTAGTTAGAAGAGTTTGCATGGGTAAGAAACAAGGTGGAGTAGGTATGTTAATATATATTATAATAAATATTATATATTTATACTGTATAAAATAGTTGGTCCGGGCCAGACTTTTTTGACAAATCCCGAGTCCAGCCCGAAAAAACAATCAGGCTTGGTGTTTTGGTCCAAGGTCAAGCCCGCGGGCTTAAGAACATGTCCAAGCCTTACTAGGGAGTGGGCTGGGCCGGGCTGTCGGGCTACCCGGCCCATGAACAGGTCTAGCTGGGAAGCAGGTGCAATGAATTCAACATATGGATGTTCAGTGTGGAGGGGGATTCAAAAAGCCATCAGCAATTCATGAAGGATATAAAATATGAGGTGGGGAATGGTGAAAGGGTTCTTTTTTGGGTGTCTGGTGTGATGGAAGGCCCCTCATGGAAATTTACTCAAATTTGTTGAAATATTTCAAAACAAGGATGCAGCAGTTGCTGACTTGGAAATTCAGAACAGTGACAGACAGAGAGGGTGTGGAATTTTCAGTTTCACAAAATCTTAAATGACTGGGAAATGGCATCTTTTATTAAGTTACTGCAGAAACTATATATGCCAGCTATGAGGAGGGAAAGGATTGATAGGAGCGTTTGGACTTGGGAAAAATCAGGGAAATTCACAGTGAAATCTTTTTAGAACTGGTTGACAGGAGGGTAATGGTAAAATATTGTGCTGTCAAGTGTGAGAACGTGAGTTTGAGTCTGAGAGTGGCCACTTTGTGCCCAAAAAAAAAAAGGTTAGGACTACCTCCAGTCCACCCCACCTGAGACCCTAAATAACTGGGACAAACATTGGCTAATGGTCTTTATTTTTAATAGGAGGGGAAGCTTCTGAATTTTGAAGCTCAAAAATTTGGATCAAGACTTCCATCCAAAGTGGCATTATTTTTGTTTGGTCTTCATCTCTGAATAAAATTTTGACTAGAGATTTCTTGGCAAGAGGGGAGTATACAGGTGGAGGATTTTGGTGTGGATCATGTAACAGAAATAAGAAAACAGTCAGCTGTTTCTTGATCCACTGTGATTTCTCTTACAGAATCTGGACAAAAATGATGAATCTGTTTGTAGTTGAGATGTGCTTTCTGGAGGACATAGTGCCTTTTCTTGGAGGCTGGGATTTGAAAAGTTTAAGTAAGAATGAAAGAGTGGCTTAGAGCATCATACCCGCGGCAGTATTTTGGGTTGTGGGGGGAAGAAATGCTAGAATATTGAAGGAAAGCAAGGCTCAGTTGAAGAGGCGATGAAGAGGACAATGAGAGTGCTATTTTCATGGTTGGCAAACCATAGATTATTCAAAGAAACTGCTCTTCTTTTTTTGTCTTGGAAAATCTTTTTGTACACAAATATTTGGTAGAGTTGGCTTGATCTACATGGTTGGTTTTACATCCATGATGTACAATGTCTCAATGTACAGGGGTTCTCTTTGTATTTTTTGAATATCTAATACATTACTATAATTTACAGTTAAAAAAAAAAAAACATAGCAAGGGGGGATTGAGGATAGGGATGGCAATTTTCCCCATTTCCCTGATCCCCGTGGGGACTGCCCCGAATGGGGTGGGGATGGGGATGATTTTCCCCCGTGGGGACGGGGATAGGAAAATTTTCATCCCCATTGGTAGGGACAGGGTGGCGACGGGGAGAGCACTCCCCACCCCGCGGTGACCCTGATCCCCGCCTTGTGGGAATCCCCACTAATATATATATGTATTTATACGTCTATATATGTATGCATGTATGTATATATTAATATTTTTAAAAATATGGTTGAATATGTTTGAATATATTTGAACCTTTTCTATAAGACTATAAATTTTAACTATTTTATTTTTAATTTTTAAATAAAATAAAAACAAAAACAAAATGGTCGATGTTATAAAAAATCATGGGGAGTAGGGACCACTGTGGGGATGGGGATAACCTTGTCCCCACTAGTGGGGACGGAGCTGGGGATTTTCACGGGGACAGGGATGGGGAGTGGCTCCCCGTCCCTGCCCCGCTCTACTGCCATTCCTAATTGAGGAGGATGTTGCCCATAGAATTAGAACAGGATCATTAAAGCCAAAAACGAAAAAAGAGCAGGATGGGAAAAATGGAGGGATGCATTTGGAGTCTTGCGTGATAGGCAAATACCACTTGGGCTAAAAGTAAAATTTATAAACGGTTGGAAGGCCAACATAGGTAAAATATCTATATCTTGACCACAGTGAGACCCGAATCCCAACTTTTGAGGGGACCCCACTATTTTCCTTTCCCATTTCCATGCGTCTCATAAAACAAACATGAGAAAGTGGTATACATTTGATGAACTTTTAGTTGTATATTTTGTTATGTTTTTCTGACTATTTGATGAACTTTTTTGGTATACATTTTAGAAATTTCTAAATGCATCTTTAGTAAAAATATCAAGATGACTATTTTTTCTTCAAAAAAAGTCTTAGGAAACTATATAAAAAATCAATAATTCTTGATTGCATTTTTAAAATGCATAAAATATTTATATACAAAAAAGAACAAAATGAGAAAGAAGTGCTAGGTTTTGGGGCATTTTTAGAAAAGATATGTTTAATGGTTGATAAAAAAACCAAAACATCTTTTGGAACAAATAATGGAAAGTTGCAGTTTTTATTTGTTTCAAAAGATTTAAACAGAATTGGCCAAAATCATCAAAGGTAGTTGTAATTACATGTTTGCTATATCTATATATTCCACATCCTTAAAATGATCAGGTAAAATATCTATATCTTGATATATGGGCTTTGAACCTGTAACTGCTTAGTTGAAACATGATGCTCAAACCAATTTTACTGATAACTTGTATTTGATGTTATAGGACCTATGTTTTAGGATCTAAGTTGGGCTTTAATTAAACTGAATTTGGATCTGATCTGCACTCCAATCCATTGGCAGTGTTGGTTTGCTTCTAAGACTCAATTTGGAAGGAGTACAAATACAAATTTGTAGAGTACAAAGCCTTACATTTTATATTATTTTGTATGTACTCCTTCCAAACTGAGCCTAAAGAAGCCTAAAATGAAAGTGTGAGCTCAATTGAAGTTATGATGACTTTAGTCAAATTCTCATAATTCTACAAAAGGAAAGCAACAAAAACATTAAAAGTTTTACACAAGGAATTCACTTTGATCTGTAATTTAGAACTATGCTTATAGATTATTTCCTGACCATAACGTATCCAAAATATACCAGTAAAGCTCAGATTATTGCTTGATCATAATGCGTTTACTGTTATGTAAAACCAAACTGGAGTTTGAGTTAAGCAATAAGCAATAATTCAGCTTTTTGCTTGTGCATGGTGGAATCTATACTTAAAATTCTTTAGATTTGAGCTGCAGTATGTTTTTGTCTAGGTGAATGAATTATACAGTGAGCTTCATGGAGATACTACAACCAGGCATTCTTCAACTGGGGGATTTGATCCACTAATAGTTTCTGAAACTGCCACCATTGCTAATGATGCATCTGAATTTAGTGAGAAGATGCCTGACTCAGGCGAAATGGAATCTATGGTAAACATTCAAATAAAAGAGAAGCCTACTATTAATAACATGGATAGTGTTGCCAGCACCAACCAGATCGAAGAATTGCCAGGATCTTCTGAAGCTGGTGAGTCTGAAGAAATTATGCAGGTTCCATTGGATGAGCATGAAGTTCGTGAGCGGGATGTGCAAGCAGTGTATACTGATGAAGAGGCTGATGTTCCCCTCTCAGATGCTCCACTCATTGGGGCTCCTTTCCGACTAATATCCTTTGTTGCTAAATACGTGAGTGGTGCAGATTTGGTTAACAAGAACGCTTCAGGATCCACTCGGTAGCTGCTGGCATTTTGTCGAGAAATTCTTTCCTGTTCGTTCTTTTTTACTTCATGTTGTTCTTGTTCTTGTTCTTGTTCCTGTTCCTATTTTTTCCCCTTTATAAATTAGGATTAAAAGTATTTTAAGTGTACCCTTAATGCGTTTTCCAGTCTAGACAACTCGGGAGCCAAACAAACCACTCCTCACCAGTCAAGTCACCTCCACCCCCAACCCAAAGGGAACTAAAAATGAAATTTGAAAACCGGGGCGAGGGGGGAAGACAAAAGACGAATTTTAGTTATAAGATTAAGATTAAAATCTGGGAATTAGGACATGTCGCCACATTTGGAGGGTAATAGTAATACCCTCCTTAGAGATGTACCCGTTCAATTCTCTTAACTTGAACAAAAATCAATCATAAAAATCAGTCATAGAATATTGGTTTTTGCATATCGCGTTCATCATCTTGTCTCTTTGTGAACGTCATTGGAAGTATGTATTAGTTTTGATAAGCATACGTGAGCAACGGGCCCACTAGAACTCTTTTACCAAAAAAAACAACTGGAGTATCCCTGGGCAAATGACTGCAATTAGGGTCCTGTTTTGCAATGTTTTCATCTGTTTCTATTCTTTCAGAAATTAAGTTCGTAAAGATAATAGAGCATGGAAAAAGTTTGAGTTCGTGAAGATAGCAACAAAGGAAGATGCGTTTAGAAAAAAAAAAACAGGGCATGAAAAAAGTTTTAAGATGAAAAAATAGAGTATACAAAGTCAGAAACACCAACAACGAAGAAATGAAGATTGTACAGTGGGTTTGTAGCAAGAGCACTAGGAACAGATGATGAAGATTGCTCAAGGACTAGGGCTTGGAGTGGAGAGTTTATGTCAATGCGAAATGATGACGTTGCCTATTCTCACGTATAAAGGGCAAATGTGTGTTCGTAAATAAACTGGGACAATGTGGATACCGCATGTTCTCTGAGTGTGTTCTTTAGGAGTGTTGATTTGTCACTCCCCAAGAACACGTTTTTTGGGTGCTGTTCTCACTTGAGGATTACTTTGCTTTTCACGTTTTTTTTGTTAAACATGTATTTGTTCCACAGGAGCACCAGGAATGAGAGAGACACTCCTGCAGAACATTGCCAAACAGGCCCTAAAATTTGTATAAATAGAAAGTTACGGTGAATAGAAATGGAAATTGATTTTGAAGGGTTAAAGCTGATAGGGCATATTCCGGGCCTTCTATCCGTGTAAGATCTTCCCGGACGAACGCATGCAGTGAACTCAGAACTCTTTGGCAACCATGAACTACCAGTTGTGCTATATGATTGTACTACCACATCTACCTCGGTGCGTTGGGCTGGGGTCGTTTGGTCAATGTTCACTGTCTGATAGGTTTCAAGTACGGTATTGATGATTACTACCTTTATGGCTTTATCGTCTTTTAAATCCTAATCATTTTTAAAAGTTCCTATTAGAATTTGAGGGTATTTGACTCTTGACAGCTCAATAAGATCAGTTTTTTGTAGCTGATCTCCAGGTGGGGGAGACCCACATTGTTCGGTTCCCTTTCGCTAGTAAAGCAGAGTCCGGATCTGCTCATCACAAAGGGCGCCTCACACCGACCTCACAGGCGCATCCCATCATGCATTTAGAATCTCCCGTACTTATAATGTTATACACGGGAGATGTTCTCCTGTAAGGTGACTGAGGAGCAGATCCCGACCCCTGGTATGCATCGTATTAGGCAAGGCAGGTAAGGAAAGCCCTACATCTTGAAGGCTTGAAGCCAATCGGCGCTTGACACAGAAACATTAATTGATTAAAGATTAATCAAATTCACAAATATCAAAGAAACGTCTTTACAACAAATGATGGGATGGAATGATGAGAACCCTCATACCTCATCCAATGACAAATATTTTAAAACGCTAAAAAACCTAAAGAAATCCAGTTAATTCTGGCGCATTTCATGAGCGAACGCATACATGATACATGGATTTGGTTTAAACGTTTCAACCTCACAACCCCAAAGTTAATCATGGGGTTTGCACATTCAAATCCTTGGATTTGTTTTCCTCGGAAGAAGGGCGGTTCTCCGAATCAGATTGCCGGATTTCCTCAATCATCCTGACTACTTCCTCCATCTTGGGTCGCATATCTGGCACCTTTGCTACACATGCCATGGCAATCTGTAGCATCTGCACCATCTCTTCTTCAATGTTTTGGTACCTCATCAACTCAACGTCAAATACCTCTGCCGTCCATTCCTCTCTTACAACTGACTGGACCCACCTGGGGAGATCGACCACATCATCATGCCCCGGTGACTGGAGTGGAGCTTTCCCCGTCAACAGTTCAAGGAGGAGAACACCGAAGCTGTACACATCAGATTTCTGAGTTGGTTTCCGGGTTTCAATCACCTCAGGAGCGCGATAGCCTACACTTCGAGATGGTGTGACTGGGAAATTCATAAGAGGCACCAGCCCAAAATCTGAGATGCAGCCGTCTTGGTCTTGATTGAGGAGAACATTGGAAGACTTTATGTTTCCATGGGTAAATTTTCCACCACCCTCAGCATGGATATGGGCAATACCCCTTGCAGTTCCTAGGGATATCTTTATTCTGGAGTTCCAGTCCAATGGAGTTCTTCCAGTGCCTCTGTTTCCTGTTATTGCATGCAAAATGAGTCAGGAACAAAAGTACAAGTTTATCCCTGTTATTGCATATCAGGGATATCTTTACTCTGGAGTGCAGAACTGATTATATAAAGATGGAGAGGTAAAGATATCCCTGTTATTGCAGGAATTATTGTCCTGCTTTTACTAACTTCAACTGCATAAACATCTATCAGTAAACATAAGAATCACTAAAGAGTTTAGACTGGGATTATCCATCTTAATTTGTGCATGTCATCCTTGCCCATCGACAATGCTAATCCTCTTTGTATTTGTTTTCCTACCCTGTGCTTTACCTGACTGGTGATTGAAGTCATTGAACTCCAAGTCCATAGGCTTCCTCCAGGGCCACCAAGCTATCATTCTTGTTCAAGTTACAAGAAATAAAGACAGGAAGGAAGATTTAGAATCTTAGCAAATGCTCTAGATGCTCTAGATTGTGTTGATCTAGAAACCTTGATTTGATGTTAAGTTACCTAGTAATGTCTACTGTCTACCTAGTACTAATGGAGAGATACAATAAATCAGTTTCCCTTAGAGTGACTGAACTTTGATGCACAAATCGTAAGAAAGAAAAAAGGAGGGGGAGGGGCAGGGAGATAAACAGGGACAGGTCTGCGGCTCAAGAGGTTCCAATGAAAATTTGGGTCTTTCTCTGTGGGGCCCACAAGACTCTTCTAGGACTGTCTGATCTAAGCAATCTCTAAAGTAAACTCTTGCTAGGAGATTGAGGTATTGATAGAGCCAGTAGTTTGAACAATAATTGATTTCCTAGTTTTTTGGATCTAGAAAGGCATCTTTATAATTTTCTGCAACTCTCTGATATATCAAGTTTTTTTGGTTTTTTGAAGGTATCAATCAGTTTAGGAATGTGTTTTAGAGTGTCTTGAAGATTTAGTTTGCTAAATATGATTTAAGGACTTGCCAATTGACAGAAAACATGGCTCTTGATAGAGCACAATGGTGGGATAGGATTTGTATAACCGACCCCAAGTAATTGGGAGTTGGGACCAAGGTTCAATTAAGTTTGCGTGAAGAGTTTTTATGATGTCTTTTATGGGGTTCACAAAATTTTCTTGGATTTTAAGTTGGCATTGTCTCTTTCTTGTAGGATTGTTTTTCAGAGGTCAAAGCTTGTTCATTTTGCTTGATACCAAAATCTTGTGAACCTGATATGCATCAGGAAAGTTATGCCATTTTATTTGTGGGGTTAAGGTATCAATTAGTGATTGAATTGAATCTACAGTCTATTTTCTTTTCAACTTGTTTGAAAAAGGATAGTGGGCTGGTCAATCCCTCTTGTTAGAATCTATAAATATATGTGATTTTGTAAACCAGCTAGTATAGAATTTGATTATGTAATAAGAATTTGAATTGAGTTATTTTGAGGCATGTTGCTTTCTTCTTTTTCTTTTTCTTTTTCTTCTATATGTCAGATCTGAATCTCTTTCTTTTGTAAATTAAATCCTTCACTCCCCTTGTCCATGTACCATGACACCCTTGTGTAAGACCACATTCTCTATTACCCATCCTACGAGAGTTAGGTTGGGACTGTTGGGCCAAGACAACCATGTTTAATGCAGCACTACAGTAAGTAGGATCAATAGAAGGTGATACTAGGAGCTCTTGAAGGGGTACAAAGGGTCAAGGACATGCATATTAATCAATTGATCATAGAAGGTGATTCTGAAATTTAAGTGGCTGACTAAGGACATTGAAGTTAGTTGTACATGGGTAAAGAGAAATGCAAACTCATTGGCAGATGGTTTAGCTAGGCAAGGGGTGAACAGAAACTTTATTTTTTGGGCTGTTTTGTAATTGATTTACGGTTTGGGTGTACATTGATGTATTAGGGAGTTAAGATTTTTTTTAGCTCCTTCGCTATGTAATTTCTCAATCTTTAATAAAATTCACTGTTATTGATAAAAAAAAAGTAGGATCAATCATTGCATTTGTAGCACTTAACCTCTGAAATTGTTCAGGCTTTTCTAAACCAATAGTCAAGTCAAACTGGGATACCACTTTTTAGAATTTAGTTTAAGGAAGCTTCATCTACTGATTTTGTTCTGAAGAAAGCAGCACAAAAAACTCAAGTACCACATGGAAATTTATGTCTGTTAGTGTACAATCTGCTGCATAAGTTGTAGATATAAATTAGATTCTGGACCTATCATCAAGTGTCAGGTGAGATCGTTTATTGGAAGCACTTTTTCTCTAACTTGCTTTTGGAGGAAGAAATGCAAAATACAAATCAGTGTTACCAAAAAAATGTGGTGAAGTGATGACTAGTTGTTTAGGCCTGCCTCAGCAAGCAAAATTGAGACATCCAGCTGTTTCCAGTTGTGAAGTGGTAACTCTAAACTTTGATGGAAGTGCTTTAGGCAATCCTGGTTTAGCTGGCATTGGAGGCATAGTAAGGGATGAAAGGGGTAACATCTGCTGGACTTTCAGTGGCCCAATTGGACTGGCTGAATGCTGAAGTGATGGTTGCTCTCACAGGAATCAGAATAGTGAAAAATTTGGGAATTCAGAAATTAATCATTGCAAGTGACTCAGCAAATACTATAAAATGGTTAAGGGACAAAGAAGAGGGACCTTCGAGTTTGAGCCACTATTTGGACTGGCTGAACGCTGAAGTGATGGCTGCTCTCACAGGAATCAGAATAGTGAAAAAATTGGGAATTCAGAAATTAATCATTGCAAGTGACTCAGCAAATAGTATAAAATGGTTAAGGAACAAGGAAGAGGGGCCTTGGAGATTGAGCCACTATTTGGCAGAGGCTAGGGCCTGGACTGTTTAAACTCTAGACTAACTTGGATTCCTAGGGAACTAAATCATATAGCAGATGGGTTAGCCAAATGTGGTGTGTGTTTTGATTATTTGTATAGTGACAAGCTTCCTCCTCTGTAAGCTTCTGGGGATCTTCCCCTGTTTTGTACATCTTCTCATGTACTTCTTTCTTTAATGAAATATGGTTAAATTTCCTCAAAAAAAAAAAAAAAAGAATAGTTGTTTAGGCCTGTTTAGTCGATGCAGTGACCCAGTTGGTGCCTAGGCACTGACTAGTCGATAAAAAAGACATATTCTAAATATAAAATATTGATGCAATCTCATAAACTAAGTTAATAAAAACTACAGTTATGCATGAAAGAATGACATTGAACATTTAGTTTGGTCTTTGTTTTGAAAACAAAGACAAAATTTCCAATGAAAGAGTTTAACTTTGATTGCTTGGTGTGCTTCTTGTTTGCAGCAACTCCTAACCAACACATCACTAATACTCTAATAGGAAGAAAAAGAGCTCCTCCAGTGCCTTCTCTTATTTTATGCCTTTTTCTTATTTTGTATACCATAACCCAATCATGTTTAGTATTCCATAAAAATGTTTAAATTTTAAAGCAATAGTAAAATGCAGACAGATTCTATATTATTTCAAATAATTGGAGATACAAACAAACAAATAAAGATTTAAAATAATTAGTTGACTAGTCGTGAATCAGCTAGTCAACCCAACCTAATCTATGGTTGTCCTAAGCGACTGTACCATGGGTATCGACTGACTAGTTCGTTATGCAGTCAGCCTGGCCCTCAACTGACTAGTCGATGATTGGTCAACACTTCAATAACACTGATTCAATTAGCACTTTCTGAGGATTATAGACAACGAGACATCCATGCTACCCAGATACAGCAAAAACTCAGCTGAGAATGGCATCAGATACAGAATTTAGACTAAAAATTTCATTATCCAACACAATATGACATCCTTGTACAAGACAGTTTCCTAATCAGACTAGAAAATTCATGTATGCTTTACTATTGTCCCCTGTACCCCCCCCCCAAAAAAAAATAAATAAATAAAAAGAAACGAAAAGAAAATCGGTGCCCACTCCCAAACTAAGTACATTTTTTCCTGCTTTTGGTGTTAATGAAGGTAAAGTGGAACTGGATGGGCTGAAGACAAAATCATGCACAACCGGCTGGGCAAAACCTATCATGACTGGACATGCTAGTGTTCTGTACCGATAAGGTATGGGTCGCATGTGGGCCCCATGTGATAGGTTGCCCAGCCTGCTGTCTATGATTTTGTCTCCAGACAATCCGGACTCAGGAGAAAATAAGTCGAGAAACTACCTTTTAATTAAATAAGCAGCAAACTCAGAATGACTAGGAAGGAATATAAGCATCAGATAGACCATACCATGCAAGAGTGTAGACAAGCTTCCAGCTGTGATGTAATCATAAACTAGGAGCTTCTCATCCTTGGAGTAGTAATAAGCACGGAGTGGCACAACATTCGGGTGTTGACCAACTCTGCCTACAAGCTCCATCTGCTGTTCAAACTCTTTCTTCCCCACCACTACTTCCTTTAATCTCTTCACCACCACTGTTGTTCCCTCCTCCAAGACGGCCTTGTAAGCTGTCCCATAACTCCCTTTTCCTAGCACTTCAGCTGAAGCTCTCAGTAGATCCTCAAGATCAAAATTATAAGAACAGCCTTCAAAGAATACCAGCTTGTTCTTCTCAGCCTCCTGAATTCCACTTCCAAATTCCTCCTTGGGCTTTTCACTTCTTCCACCACTAGAGCCCTTGCCCTTTGAGGCACCATCTCCTTCACTATTTTTACTCTTCAGACAGCAAACCAAGATAATTATAGCTAGAAGAAACAGCACTGCAGAACCACCAATGGCAATGGCAATGATAGCTCCAGTAGTAAGTTTCTTCTTTGATCCATTTCTCTCTGTAGTAGGGACTGTTGGTGGGGGTAGCAAGGAAGAAGGCGAGGGAGAAGGTGATGGAACAACTGAAGAGCAACTGCTCAAAGGTGGCCCACATAAAAGAGGATTTCCTACAAATGAAGAGTTAGGGAACTTTTGGAGGGAAGACGGAATTGAGCCATTCAGGTTGTTGTAACTTAAATTCAGATGCTTAAGCCTTGGAAGGTTGAGATCAGGGATGGGTCCTGAGAAAGAATTATTCTGTAGGTTTAACCTGGTCAAGCGTGTCAGATTCTGAATTGTAGGTGGAATGTTGCCCTTAAAGGAGTTGAAGGAGAGATCAATTAAGTTAAGTTTGCGGGAGAGAGATGCTGGGACATTACCAGAAAAGTTGTTGTGTTGTAAGAAGAGATACTGGAGAGATGGGAGGAAAGGGATGTCTGAAGGAAGATTCCCAATTAGGTGGTTGGATCGGAGGCTGAGGACCTTGAGAGCGTCAAGTCTTCCAAGAGTGTTGGCTGGGATGGGGCCAGATAATCCAACTCCTGGGAGTCGAAGCATCACCACATGATTGCCATCCTGACTACAAGTGACGCCAACCCATGTTGAACAAATTGGGCTAGTAGAATTCCAATTGAGCTTCCGACCATGGGGAACAGCAGCAGAAAAATCGAGGAGTGCTTGCTTGTCAGTATCCAGGTCAGCAATGACCTGGGTAAGGAGGAATAACAAGGCAAGGAAAGGTGCAAAAGAAATGAGAGCCTTTGGGTGCTTCATAGGGAGTCCGGTAAGAGATGTATGAAAGAGACTGGCTATGAGATCGTGATCAAACGGTTCTTCACCTGATACACTAACAAAAAAAAACAAGGGGGAATATTAGTTGGTCAAATTTCAAAAAGACAGTGAACATTAATTATTTCAATGGAAGCAACAAAAAGGCTTTCCATGCTTCAAGAGGAGCAGAACACCCACGATTTATATTATTTTCTCAAGAAATAGCAAGAAGCGAAAATGTGTAATCTCAATTGAAAAGGATATAAGGGAAAAAATTTATTAAAATCCCAAATATGTGGAGTTTTTTTTTTTCCTGAAGAGAGATTCTTCCTTGAAGATATAGGAAACACCTTTACTTGAAAGAGCTACTCAATAAATCAAGCACATGGGTACTGTTCTGTAAACTACCGAAACGTTTCTTTACCAAAAAAACTACAAAAAAAAATTTCATAACACAAAGCAGCCAACTCTAAAACTACAAAAACGTAAAACCACTAAAATACAAATACAAAAAAGCAACACTGGAATTATTACAAAATGGGGGACCGTCTTTTCCAGTCTCTTTCATCATAATAGCTAAATAGCTTATTCAATTTTTTTTGTTTTTGTTTTTATATTCTTCCTCCAAACTCGTTTGAAAGTTGATATCCAAAATCCTGGGACTGAGTAGCACTAATGCACTATAATGCTTTTGGATATAGATCACGGTAAAAATCCATTATCCGTTGGTATATCCAAAACAAACACAAAGGCTCAAAAAGGCCTTCTTGTTTACTATAGAATATTAGAATTTAGAATGGAAACTTCACTTCACTGTGCTCTACACCGTGGAGGGTATTTTGGTCGTTTAAGGTCTTAATGCCGAACACAAAAAAGTTTGTTTTTTTTTTCTAATGAATGAACACAAAAAAGTTGTTTTTGATGGATAAACAAAAATAAAGTTACAAAATTCAATGCAATAGTCAACTAGAGTCAAAATTCGTACAACAGAAAAATTAATAAAAGGAAAGTAAAAAAGCAAGAAAAACTAAAACAAAATTATAAAGCAATTTTATTTCACCTTTCAATACCGGAAGAACTTTGACACTTTTATGATGCCGGTTGATTGGTTTTGGTCACAAGTTTTTAGCTATCACCCTTTTACAGAAACGCAACTATTAAAAGCTAAATATTGATTTTTTGGTAATTAAAAGTTAATTACAAAAAATAATTAACACCGAAAGATGATTCTTTGGAAGGAAAAGAAAAGCGAAGTATACTGGTTTTTAGCAGGGGGGGGAGGAGAAACTCCGATTTTCCATAATGTGAGGATAAAGAAAATTATTTGCCGGAGGTTTGACACCTAAACCAATATTCAAGCCTCGAGGCCCTCGACCATGACAGAGCGGTAAGAAATTCTATCATGAGCTGATCACCCACGGTTCTCTTGCCAGATAGGCAACGAACAGACTCGCTATACCGTACGGGAGAAACGACGGAACGGGATTACCCGCACCGCATGCGTACGTTTGCTAAGGAGCACCAAATGCGCATGTTAGTAAAAACCAAATTGACAATTCCAAGCTAGTAAAAACCAAATGCCAAGGAGCACCCATTAACAATTCCAGGTTTTCCAGCGGCAAGATGAAGAGATTGTACAGAGATTAAGAATCGTCACTCACCAGAGAGAAACTTGATGGATTTTCTCTAAGAACATTTCATGGGCTTCAAAACCAGACCCGCCATGTCATTAGAGCTGAATACCTCTGCAAATCTGACAACAGTAGAGCAGTATAAGAAGCAATGCGAGAGTATGAAGTTTTCCACTCAAGAACCTCACCCCACAACGCTAACCCTCGTTGGTCTCACAACCGACAACTCTCACCAGATTCAAGTCTCGGATCTGCCATTACAGCTTTCGACGGTCCCTGCAAGGAGCGAAAGTACTTCAATGACTCGAAGAAGAGATTTACGTAAATGAAAGATGGAAAAATAGTACGGTAAATGGAATACAAGAAGGAAGATAGCGAAAACATCATGGGGGAATATCGTTGCATAAGGCAAATAAAGATACTGTGAAAACCTCGGATATAAAAAAAGGCAGCGGCTGTTCGGCTGTTACAGAGCTGAAAAGAATTGTAGCCTGAAGTCTAAACATGAATAAGAAAGGAACTAATAATCCTAGAACGAAGCGTGCGGGGAGAATAAATTCTACTCTATAATGGATTTCTCTCCAAAAAAACTGACCTCTTAAAGGTCTTCTTCATCGGTCTTGACTAAACCCTAGCTCGGACTCGAAATTTATCTCAAAATCCACACACATTCCTCAAAAATCAGCTTCTTGAGGCTTCAGATCTGCTATTTGACCTCCAAACAGCTGAAATGCAAGCGTGGCGAGAAAAGGAAAAATATGCCATTAGATTATAAGCTAACCTTTACGAAGGAGGAGGCTCAAACCTTGGAGCTTCTTCCAAGTCCTGCACTGCTTCATCTAAGAACGTTCTTCTCTTGAGATCTCTTTACCGGCCTTCGGAATTCCCACTTAGCTGAAGCCGAAGCACCAATGCGGGCAACACCTGAGAGATGAACTGTGGTTATGCTTCAAATAATGAGATTCCTTCCAGAGTTGAACAGCATTTCTTTACGAAATCCACTCACTGAAAGGTTAGGATCCGCCATTGGAGCTCCGTTTAGAGTTTAGTCGACCTGAAACCGAAGGAGACGCCTCGCCTCAGGGTCTTCTCACACACGCAAACAGAGAGAGAGAGAGAGAGAGGCCCAAATCTCGAATAGTAGAAGAGTAGAGAAACGCGACCTTCTTTTGAAATAAACAAGCAGCTGGACAAGTGCATATCTGTTTCACTGTTGTCGTGATAAATCATTTTTTCTGCCCAAGAAAAAGACCTTCCTTCGTACGAAATGGCGAACATGTCCTTAAGTTGAGTTGGCTTTGCTGTTTGCTCTACTTGTTTTAGACAGCTAATTAACTCCTACACGTGGTTGCGGAACAGGTGGTTGAATATTATAGCTTTCCAACTACGTGTATTCTGCCACGTGTCTCAACCACCAAAAAGGAAGAAGTATGAGGGTCCCGACTCTAGACTCTCGCTTTGCAGTGGTCCCAAAATGGAGTGTTTGGATGCACTTGAGTTGATCCTTCCTCCTCACGATAATAAAAGTTAGAGTTGATGAATTAATCAATTAAATCCCAAACAAACTTTTCTATTTAATTCCACCAACACCTAAGTCTCAGTTTGAAAGAAATGTATAGCTTAAAACCTTGTATTTTGTGTTATTTTTGTATATGTTTGTATTATAGATATTTATATTTATATTTTTCAGGCTCAATTTGTAATTTATATTTTTCAGGCTCAATTTGTATTCTTTCCAAATTGAGCCTAAGAAAATAACTTGAATCAAGAATTTGTGCCAGGCACCGGAAAGTCCAAAGTTCAGAGGTACCTACTATTGGAATGGAGTATTTTCTTTCCCTTTCTTAGGGTTAGGGACCATTTGGTTTGCATTCGGATCAAAACGGGCCATTCTAATTCCAATTATTTGGTTATAGGATGAAATCAGAATCTCATTTACATTTCTGGTGGAATAACATTTCCCTATTTGAAGGAATAATCATTCCTGATCTCTTTCTTAGAAAAGAAATCCCATTCTAGCTGATTTTAATTCCCATTCTGATTCTTCTCTAAATCAAATAAATTATAAGAATAGACGATTCTGGTTCTGATTCTGATTCTGATTCCAATAAATTTTGATTCTGATTCCCATTTTGATTCTGAACAAGAACATTTATAAACAAGAGGAGGGTTAAGTTCTGGTAGAATTTCCTTTCAAATAATCTTCATTTTTTTTCTTAATTTCCGTAAAGGAAGAGGGGTTTGTGTGAGAAACACAGAAGAAGATACTAGATTGAACGATTGATGATGGTTCAATAACTAACCCGATCTTCTTTTAATAAGGGTATTTAAAACTGTCGAAACAGATTAACAATAAGATCAGATGGAGGGTAAAATGGTGTTATTAAATAGGAATTACATTGATTATCCTTCGGAAGAAGGTGAATGGAAATCTTTTTGAGTATAATATTGCAAACCCTGTTGGAGATATAAACTAATCAAAATTCCTTTTCGGGGAGTTAGTTTGTGGGGAAGAAGACCTTAGAAGTTAGAACTGTGGAGCACATGGCTTTGGATTTTGAGCTTGAATTAATTAGTTCTCTCTTTTTCTCTCTCGTTCTTTAAAACTCAGTACTCCCTCATTAATAAATTTGGAAAGATGACAGTGGATAATACCAAGGTTTTTTAAAATAATCTATTCAATCAAAGGGTTCAGAATTATCCCTCCATTGGCCCCCATCTCTAATAGTGATTATAGCATTATCTTCACCATTCAGAAGGATTGATCAATCAACCAAATCTTGGACCAAGTTCTTAATCGCCCGATCAGCAGCCTCTAATCAGCTATATACGGTATCTTTCTTGGGTGCTTAATCAAATTGTTAATATCTACTTTATTATTATTATTTGAAAGATTAGTTTTCTGAACTTTTGTGCAGTGATTAGTTAGGAGACAAAAAGATACCAATCCAACTGTAAGCTCACACATCTACAGCACTTCTGTTGTTAATATATCGTTGTCTATTATATGATTCTTTCCCAGTTAATAACATGGAAAATTAGTAGACGTTCGTACCGCATTCTTTTGTATTCATTTCCATAATGACAAAAGACTATTTTGTTATGTTTGCTTCATAGAAAATAAAATTGAAACAGAAAGTTGAAGGGAAATTCTTAAGAGATTTTATATAAATGGTTAACGAGAGAAAGTTCCAAGGAATTAATTCAGATAAGTATTTGATAACTTTTATCAACTTCTACTTTCTCTCTTGTCTAATCTGTGTGGATTTGACTATGATAATGAAAATGTATAATATTTGAAAAACTTAGGATTCATTTGGTTCGTAATTGAAAATGAAATCAAAATCAAAATCAAAATCCTTTAAATTTGGAATTGGAATGGTCTATTTTCATAGTCTGTTTGATTTAAACAAGAATGAGAATGGAAATTAGACTCATAAGGAACGAGATTTCATTCCCAAAAGAGGGGTAGGGAATGGTCATTGTCCCAAATGGGAGAATGCCATTCCAACATAAATGGGAATAGAATTTCGATTCAATCCAACTAAACAGTTGGAATCGAAATAACCCATTTGATTTTGGTTCTGAACCCCTATTCCTATGAACCAAACGGGGCCTTAGAACCAATCAATTGATATAATGAATGGTAAGTGGTAACCAATCACTTAGTATTCATCAAAATTCAAAGCTCTTCCACTACCATACCCTTATTGTACAATAGATTAAAGGGCTTCTTCATCAAACATGTGTATGGTACGTTGGTAGTCATAATCACCTTCTATATCTCATTTTTGTTGCAAGACAATTATGAGACCTCTCAAGAAAATGATAACATTCCCATGTTAAAAAAAAAAGCCAAAACATCACATCAACTAGTATTTGATTTAAAATACATGTTGACATTTCATTGGGGTCGCATAAGACCCTAGTCGCAACAAAATCTTTTTTCTCCAATCTCTCTCTCTCTCTTTAAAAGAAACTACATTTCAAGTGGTGTGGGACTTATTGGGTTATTATTTACAAATAAATTTTGATTTTATAATGTCTTAAATCAAATAAAAGTGTGACTTAATCTCTTAAATAACAAAATAGAAACCTAAATATAAAAAAAAAAAATCAAATAAAAAGCCTAGCCTTCAACTTCCAATATAAATAACATATCTCACGGTGGCTTGGTTAGTAGGAAATTTGACAAGTCATAGTGGAGACCTAGTATCAAATCTTACTATCACCAAGGTTGGGGGTAAAGGGAAAGGGGTTTGCATGAATGAGTTTGGTTCCGTTCCAAGGCAAAACATGAAATCTACTTTATAGGGGTCACTTCTATCTTTTTGGAATGTACTGAACCTATCTTATCAATAACGGTTTTAGCCTTGGCGATTTTAGAGTCTTTCCATGGAATTTGTTCTTTTTTATCACAACAAAATGTAACTTGTCTTTAAAAATTCATTTTTTAATAATAAAAACTTATATTACCTTTATTGATTAAATCGAACAATTTAATATATAGTTTATCATAATATATTAATATATAACTCAAAACTTTATAATTTAAATTCTATAAATATTATCTTTTACATTCTTTGTAACCATGAGTGTTTGGGTTTAAATCTTTACATCGTCAATGTATTTTGGCAATTTTTAAAGATAAATTTGATTCCAAGGCCGGTTCAACCAAGGCCAATTCTTTGAGTTGGTTCGAGTACGATAAACCCCAAGACCCTAAAACTGGCCCGGGTGAGAATCAGTTTCAAGAATTTGTAATTAATTCCTACCTACTAACAAGGATCAGTTCAAGTGATATTGATTCCATTCGATTCTAGATAAAACCTACTCATTTGATTGCCCCTAATTAAGGGGATGGGGATAGGGGATGAGCTAAGCGAGTTCAGATCTGCGCCCCACACACAGCACATTCCCATTATGTATTGGGAACATCTCTTGATGATAATATTAGAAATGATGATGTCATTATCGGGAGGTGTTCCCCATACACGGTGGGGATGTGCTATGCATGATTTTCAAAACCGGATCGAACCGGATCGTCGGACCGAAAAAACCAAAAACCGATCACCTGACTGGTTTCGTTTTTCTTTAAAACCGTTGATTTTGGTCAGCAAACCGCTGAACCGACTGATTAACCATTCGAACGATTTTGACCACTTTCCAATTTTTTTTTTTTGTCAAAACGGACTGAATCGAACGATCAAACTGTTCAAACCGATAACTAGACCACTGACCGATTCGATTTTAAAAACCATGGTGCCGTGGGACGTTATGGGGCACCCCTTGTGGGGCGCAGATGTGAACTCGAGCTACGCCACTTGTATAGCCCCTAATATAGGTAATAGCTGTGAAACAAAATGTGTCAAAATATTGCTCCGGGGCTTGGGTATTTTGAGCTACTAAAAGTTGACAAAATTTGATGCAAGGTTCATTAATCCACTTGAATTGAATGCTCGTGTTTGAGTTGGTGCATGCGGTTGAAATGTGTGGGTCACCCGATATAAATGATCACCATACAGATTGCCTAAAAAACGGAACTATTCTAACTTCCCTCAGACACATGCAAGCTGCATTTTCCTTCTCCTTAGGGCTCTCATAAATAAATTGAAGAGGAATGGAAGAGCTGAAAGTTTATCAGACTGGTAGCTGCTATTGAAAGGTTTCACATGGGAACTCGTATATAAAGTATCCTGCTTGTATTATCTCTTCCTGGTTTTGCAATGAATTCGTGTTTTACCAAAAAATGAAGAAGTCTAAACGTGGCCAACTGGCCAAGACGAGACTTGGGTTTGGGGATTGTCAAATTGTCAATGGGCCCCAACTCCATTTGGGTCGGGTTGGTGAAGTTCTTCAAATCGGGCAAGTCATGAGGTCAAATGGTCAAATATAGATTCATGGAATAATTTTTGGCCCAAAAAACCTACCTTGCCAAGTTGCCATGTGTCCCAACAAACCTTTTCTTAATTTATGGTCCATCACTAGTTCGAAAATGGCGGATACTTGTCTACATCTGATCAAGGTGATGTTTGGTACCAAAGGTTTTTAAAACTGAATCGGACAGGGAATCAGGTCGAACGGTCCAACCGTCTGGTTCAAATGGACAGCTGGTTTTGACTTAAAAAATAATAAATAATAAAAATTGTCAAAAACTATTATCTGGGCCAACAGTTT